TCACAAGTGTTGGCCATCAAGCCCATCCCATTCTGTTTTTGTGCAGACTTTTCAAAGGGGTGGGTGGGAAATCCTTTGAGAATTTGCACACGCCTTTTGTTATCTAAACCAGCATTTACCTGACTGTGTTCACTGGTTGCATATTAGGGGAAATTGTGGGTCCAGGCCCTACCACAGCACCAGAAGTTAATCTTGAAAGTATATTGAGGGGGAAGAGGCAGAGAAAACATAGATGGATGCCTGGCAGCTTGCTTTGAGAGCCAGTGTGGTGTAGTGGTTAAGAGCGGTAGACTCGTAATCTGGGGAACCGGGTTCGCGTCTCCGCTCCTCCACATGCAGCTGCTGGGTGACCTTGGGCCAGTCACATTTCTCTGAAATCTCTCAGCCCCACTCACCTCACAGAGTGTTTGTTGTGGGGGAGGAAGGGAAAGGAGATTGTTAGCCGCTTTGAGACTCCTGAAGGGGAGTGAAAGGCGGGATATCAAATCCAAACTCTTCTTCTTCTTCTTCTTTGATCTTTCTGGGTTGGGAACTGCAGGGTATGGTTGAGGTTTTTTATTGCAGGCATGAAGTGTGGCTTGAGGGATGTCCTTAGGGGGGAAATGCTCAAATTTATTTTATTTCAAGAAAACAGCTTTTAATCATATTTCAGGAGCAGTACTGCAGGAAACTTTGGAAACCATATCAAGGCATCGCATTGGCTAGCCCTGCAATGCAACTATCCTTACCATACTTGGCCTTCTGCGTAGCACCCAAAGGGAGAGTCACTCATATTCACTTGGGAGCAATATACAAGTTCCAAATGTGTCTCTAAATTGCCTATTTCACTGCCAACTATCTGTAAAATTTCCTCAAGCAAAAACTGCTTTTCAGCACAAAGCATTCTGCAGGGTTTGCACTCATAGACTTTTCAAATAATTCTTTCTGATTTAGTTCCATCTAACCCCACTGAACTTTTTGGTGGGAGCATATGTTAAGTCTACCAGCCTACTGGAATTAAACTGTTAATTAAATCCATAGCAAATTAAACTATTGGCAAGCAGCAGTCACATTAATGTCTGCATATAGTGAGGGGATTTGAAGATCTCTGAACAAATTGGGCTGTAGCCTTGGAGTCATTTGTTTTAGTACACGGATCACCATATTCTCTCTTTGAAATAAAAAGCACTCTACAGATTCATACCCATGTCCATTTTGACTTGGTCATCTCAAATTGCTACAATGAGGCAGTGGGATATCTAAGATTAAACTGATCTCTAAAATACTCCTATGTCTCGACTGATTACTTGGGAGGAGAGTTTCATGCTTCCCCCAAAATAAATCTGTACCAAATTAAAGCTGATTTTTTTTGCAATCTGTATTAATTAGTCATATCCCCCTCACACTTGCAATTTATTTGTTTTGGTTTGTTCGTTTTATATAGCCTGGTTTTTGTTAGTCATAGGGGAAAGTGATGCACTTTTTCAAGCTTCTTTCCTTAGTCATAAGGGCTAAGCCCTTTTTCCTTTTAAAAAATGAAAGCGAAGTATTCTGTAACCTGGATTCTGTGCCAAATGCCGCATTCTGTGCTTTTTACACTTCCCTTTTAGAATTACAGTGGTGCCTCACAAGATGAAAAGAATCCGTTCCGCAAGTCTCTTCGTCTTGCGGTTTTTTCGTCTTGCGAAGCAAGCCCATTAGCGGTTTAGCGGATTAGCGCTATTAGCAGCTTAGCGGGCTTAGCGGATCAGCTGATAAGCGGCTTAGCGGATCAGCTGATAAGCGGCTTAGCGGATCAGCTGATAAGCAGCTTAGCGGCTTAGCGGATCAGCTGTTAAGCGGCTAGCGGATCAGCTGATAAGCGGCTTAGCGATCAGCTGTTAAGCGGCTTAGCGGCTTAGCGGCTTAGCGGATCAGCTGTTTAGCGGCTTAGCGGATCAGCTGATAAGCAGCTTAGCGGCTTGGGAAAAGGGGGGGGAGGAAAAAAACCCTGCAGGAACTCGCAAGACATTTTCGTTTTGCGAAGCAAGCCCATAGGAAATTCATTTTGCGAAGCACCTCCAAAACGGAAAACCCTTTCGTCTAGCGGGTTTTCCGTCTTGCGAGGCATTCGTCTTGCGGGGCACCACTGTACTAGTGTCTGCTGAGCTTTCTTAGTAGTAGGACTATTCCCGTCAAACAGCTATAGGACCAAGTCTGCTGGATCAGGCCAATGACCCATCTAGTCCCATGGGAAACCTAAAAACTGGACTTGATAATGGCTGCACTCTGCCCACCTGCAGTTTGCAGCAATTGGTATTCAGAAGCATAATGTGTCTAACAACAGAGGGAGAACATAGCCATCATGCCTAGTACCCATTGACAGTCTTGTCCTCCATGAATTTGTCTAGTACTTTTTAGAAGTTGGTGGCCATTACTGCCTCCTGTGGGAACAAGTTCCACATTTTAACTATGTGCTGCATGAAGAACTTTTATCTGTCCTGAATCCTCCAACATTCAGCTTCATTGGAAGACCTTGAGTTTTCTTTAAAGAAAGAGGAATAGGTGGTGCTGTGGTCTAAACCACTGAACCTCTTGGGCTTGCTGATCAGAAGGTCAGCGGTTCAAATCCCCATGACAGGGTGAGCTCTCGTTGCTTTGTCCCAGCTCCCACCAACTTAGCAGTTCGAAAGCACACCAGTGCAAGTAGATAATTAGGTACAGCTGTGGTGGGAAAGTAAACGGCCTTTCCATGCGCTCTGGTTTCTGTCACGGTGTTCTGTTGCACCAGAAGCGGTTTAGTCCTGCTGGCTTCATGACCCAGAAATCTATTTGTGGACAGATGCTGGCTCCTTCGGCCTGAAAGCAAGATGAGTGCTGCAACCCCATAGTGGCCTTTGACTGGACATAACTGTCCAGGGGTCCTTTACTTTTTTACCTCTTTAAAGAGAGGGGTTGGTGGTTGTTGATAGTTACATTTTTATTTTTATTTTTTAAAAACAAAACACAAGCACACACACACACACACTCCAGAACAATGCTGTGTCATTTTTCAAGTTTTGCTATGCTCTTGACTTGGCTACTTGCCCTTGAACTGTGAAAGTTGTTTTGATATTGTCATGGATGATCTCAACTTGTTTACACACACACACACACACACACACCAATATACACGTGCATAATTGCTTTAGAACTAATTAAACTCTGCAATCAGTTTCTATAGCAACCTTTCCACTAATACAAATAATCTTTAAATGCTCGAGTCTGTTCTTTCTTAACAAAAATGTAGCCATGTTCAGTTGGAATGTCGAGGACTTTAATAGATATTCATTTTCTTTAGAACAGATGCTTGGCCAAGTTCAGCCTTTTAATAGAAGTTTAAGTGATAGTCTGGTAGGATGGTGTGGGAGCAGTTGGAACCAGATTTTTAAAATGTTAATCTCCAGCCCCTTTGTGACAAAAAAAAGCACTTTAACATACAGCCAGATTTCATTAATCAGGGTCAGAGTGAGAGATGCAATATTTAAAGCACCACACAATTCTGAGAGAGCACAAATAGAAATCTATTAACACATATCACCTAAAAAGATGCAGGTTCTTTAGGCCCTTCACAACAGTCATGCAAGACAAGTGGATTCCTTGTCCTTGGGACTTTCCCTTTAACTATTGTGCTATGAAAAATTCATTGCTAGCATGGAGAAGCAGCCAAAAATTGTGGTGCTACTTAAGCCATGCAAGGATCCCTCTCTGAATCCTATCACCCAATTGCAATAATTAAGCAAGACACTAACTTATCAGTGCCTTGGTTTAGTGATTAAATCTGTCTATATGCCAATACATTTAGAGGGTGTGTGTTTGTGAAAGAGAGAAGAGAAACGCCACTTGTAAGATTGCACCCACTAGCTAGCAAGCTCTATCCAGCTTGCTGTGTGGTGTATTAGGCTGTGGAACAAGCCATTTGCTTGAGTCTCCGCAGATTTTCTTTCTAAGCTCCATAGGACAGTTTAGCAGTACTGTGATCACAGACACATTTCCCATGAGCCAAGAGCTGATGTATATGACTTGTATTTGATATGGTGACCTTTCATTTTCTGGTGAAAATAGATGTTGTGATATATATCCCTCACGCTTTAACTCCGGTACAAAAGGCAATTATTGGTTTGTGTGAGACAAAATCAAATCAGCATGAAATGTCAGTTGTCTGAAGGCTAGATGACATGTTACAGAAGGCAATGGGGAAACATGTGCAAATCTTCTGTGTCTGCTTCTGCAGTAATATGAAACTCATTGTTTTGACCTACAGTGAGATTTGTGAGCTGCAGTCTCACAGGTCTGAGATCTGTGACTGACTCCTGCAAGTGATAGCACTTCCCAATAGAAGTGGGTAGAAAGACCTTATTTTGGTGTTTCTCAATTCATTCATACAACCATTCTGTCCCATTCCATCATCATCATCATTATCATCATCATCACATCATTATCATCATCATCACTCAAAGAGTTTCATTTGAATAATATTTAAATATGTATTTTTGAAAGTGCTTTCTCACAAGATGCACATTTCTACGTTTGCTTCCGAAAATACAAATTTCTAGTCATTTTTTATGTAAGGATAACTACATATAATTCTATGAGATGAGATCAGTGCATATCAGAGTTTGTAGAGAATGCGTTCCTCAAGGCCCTCCCGACTTCTTGTATTCAGGTCTCTGTGCCACCTGTGACTGAGATCAGATTGGGTCACCATATCTGGAGAGTTCAACAGTTTAATAACAGCCGTGTCAAGAATTTGCTGTCATGTACCCACCAAGTTGTGACCTGAGTTGTCCTAAACTCTCCTGAAATCAGTGGGACATCTCACAAGTAAATCAATTTGGTAAAGGCACCTGCAGTTTTACGTAGCTGAAATTCAGGGGTGACATGCTGCTTGAGTTTCAACTTCTCACCCTGTAGTCCTGGTACAGTAAATAATTCGCAGCCTAAAATTTAATTTGGTGTCTGAAAACAAGCTGATTAATTTTGATTTCCTGTTTGCATTTCAGATCTGGCAGTGTGGAGGCTCATTGGAGATTGTAACATGTTCACATGTTGGTCACGTCTTTCGAAAAGCTACGCCTTATACATTTCCTGGGGGTACCGGCCATGTAATTAACAAGAACAATAGACGGCTTGCAGAAGTATGGATGGATGAATTTAAAGATTTCTTCTATATAATATCCCCAGGTAAGGAAGTATTTCATAATAATTTTTTCACAAGCATGGCATAGTAGAAATGTTGTGTGTGTGTATATATAGTTTAATGGATAACTTTGTGTTGAGGGTTAATTGTACTACCTAATTCAGTCTTAGAACATCAGGAGGAGGTACATTCTTTAAGTATAAAACCAGAACCATTTCAGGATTGCTTTGTAAAACAGTGGCTTTAGCAAGCTTCCAAATTGCCAAGTCTTTGGCTCTTTCTGTGTTTATACAAGACTATGTAGAATGTAAAAGAGCTCCATTGGTCTTGCATAGCTCTTTTGCATATTAGTTCTGGGGTACACATGTAAAGTAGGAAATATTTTAAAAGATTTTAAATGCTATCCTTCTACAGCTGAATCCAATCTTTTCCCTTTTCAGTTTCCAATACAAAGGCATTATTTTAGTCGGGTAGACAACTTTACTTAAAAACAATTACCGGTATTGTGGAAATAACTTTTTTAAAAAATAAAATAAAATCCCAACAACAAATCCCATTGGCACCACTTTTAAATCCAATGTTGACACGATATCAGGGATGCTGAGGATATTGTAAATTATGAAGGATCCAATCCTTTGCTCTCATCCCTGGAAGTAAAAGGTAAAGGTACCCCTGCCCGTACGGGCCAGTCTTGACAGACTCTAGGGTTGTGCGCCCATCTCACTCAAGAGGCTGGGGGCCAGCGCTGTCCGGAGACACTTCCGGGTCACGTGGCCAGCGTGACAAAGCTGCATCTGGTGAGCCACTGCAGCACACGGAAACGCCGTTTACCTTCCCGCCAGTAAGCGGTCCCTATTTATCTACTTGCACCCAGGGGTGCTTTCGAACTGCTAGGTTGGCAGGCGCTGGGACTGAGCAGCGGGAGCGCACCCCGCCGCGGGGATTCGAACCGCCGACCTTTCGATCGGCAAGCCCTAGGCGCTGAGGCTTTTACCCACAGCGCCAACCGCGTCCCCATCCCTGGAAGTAAACCCATTTAAACCCAGTGGATCTTACCTCTGAGTAGAATGTATAGGGGTTGTGCTGTAAGTGAACAGTTTTACACAGAGTGCTGATTGAAAGCTAGAGATACGCAAAGTATACTCATACCTGGGAATAGTTTTGGTTCAATTTTAACTTAACATGCAAATGTAGAGCAGTTCCAAAGCTGGATAAAGCCTAGTTGAGTGACTGTTGGGGATAATGTAAACTCTGCTCTGCTTTCTGAAAGGGATGCCCAGCAGTGGGATGGCATTCATACTGTCAATACCCCTCCCTCAGTACACCTATGGAAAGCTCCATGGTTATAGATGTTCCATCAGCAGTGTTATCCTAGTGATGCGTGTGGTGAGGAAGGGGTGGTGTGTAGGGTGATGCAGAGGATCCCGAGCTCCCTAATTCACTCAACACTCCCCACCTCAGAAGGGCCCAAATGTATGCCAGTTCCAAAGTTGGTATAGTAAGTTCCCTTCCACAGGAGTCAATGGGAAGATAAATCTCTTTTTTAATGGTGGAGACGAGGGAAAAGCTACTCCTACCATCCTGCCTTTGGCCATCTGGAAGGACACTGAATGTGACAGTTGTTCTGTCACGGAATTGCTCCTCCACCACAGAATTCTTCCTAAATGTAATTTTCGCTTTCATATTCTTCTTTTGATAAGTTTATATTACATTAAACTGGTAGTTATTTTTTTAAAATAATAATAATAATAATCTAGAATTTCCTTTGCATATTCTTGATGCAGTTCAAGATTCTTGGGAAAACTGTTCTTTTTGCTTCAAGATACCTAATCTTGCAGATAACTTGAAGTAAGGCTGAAACCATTCTTTAGTAAGTTTTCAACGTTTTGAATGGAAAGTGTGTGGTTCTTTCCTTGATCAAAGACAAGAATTGAAAACTTCAAATTGTAGCTTTGATCAGGAATAAAATAACTGTATTTATCTGAAGTGCCGGTTCTCTGGTAATCGTTGCTTTCTTCCCTATATTTCAAAAGGACACTTGATTGGAGGAAGCTAGGTTTTCTGGCGGGGTTGTAAGATGTTATCAGCTTCATGAGCCAAGGCCTTTAAAGGAGAGAGAGGAGAGAGAGAGAGAGATGAGGCTTTGTTACGTTTGTCTGTAGTTATTCATGAAGATATGCTACAGATTAACATAATAAGGCCACAAGCTTCTTCCATGTAGTTAAAAACCTGTCACATACCTTTCTTCACAAAAGGAAGCTTAAAATGTCAAATGCAAAAACATGCAGTACTATGTGTCTGTTTTATTTTACTATGGATGGCATATATACCTTTCATTTTTGTACTGAAAAAAATAAAATAATAATCCTTAAAGATAGGGATAGGCAATGTGGTACCATCCAGATGTTGCAGATTCCAGCTCCATCGGTTCCAGCCAGCATAGTCAATGGGATTATGGGAGTAATAATTATAATTATAAATTATAAATTCCATACTGCCCTTCATCCATAGGAGCCAACTCCTGAGGCCAAGGTCCCTTCACACACACACACACACACACCCCTAAAATATTTGAGGGTCAGCCCCCCCCCCAGTATTTTATTCAAGTTTCTTCATCTATCCTGCCTTCATCTGAGGAACACAGGGTGGTTTACAACATAAAAATACATACCGGAGTAACAAACAAAAACAATACCCCCTGCAGTTTTAAAGGCCGTAGATTGTTTAATTAGCTGAAGCCCTGGGAGAAGAGGAATGTTTTTGCCTGGTGCCTAAAGATATGCAATGAAGGTTCATGTAATGAATAAAGATATGTAACAAATGAACTTTATTAGTTGCCTTTCTTTATGTACACATGCTAGGGCTAGCATCATACAGGGTGAGGCAACCATCTTTAGACAGCAGATTGTTGGCATCTGTAGAGGTTGTTGAATCATCAGATACTTGGATTCATGTTTTTAATCAGAGTGCAGAGGGCACTTCCAGTTGGATTTCTGCTACAGGTGTCAAAATGTGTGGAATCCTTGGAAGTACTGTTTAAAACTGAATCATAATTCTTTCTCTGCCTTGTCTATAATTAGCTTCCCGCTTTACCTGTGTTTGCCTCCTGTCTTTGTCTTCAATAAATGTAGGCATCATTCTGTTATTCAGGCTGTTATCACAAAAAATCCCCATTTAATATTAATTTGGTGCTTGGAAAGTAGGATGAGCTTACAACTCCGCATGTTGTATAATGCAAAGTTTAATTGTAATTGCTTTTGTGATGGTTTTCTATTTTGATTAAGTTTTTAATTATGTGTGGTTTAGAACAGTGTCAGGTTTCTAAAGCAGGGGGTAAAGGTCAGATTCAATAATTACTTCAGAAACAAAGCAAATGCTTTAGGCTAACAAAGCAGATATTGAATTTTATTTTTTTTCTAAAACAAAAAGCTTTCAGGATTATTAAGAGACAATGATTAATTATAAAGCTATGTTCCTTTGTAAGTGTTTACCATGAGCAAATTAAAGGAAATGTCACTCACTTTTCAACTTCCTCCTTGCTTCACCATTTTACAGCACAATCCTATACATGTTTATTTAGAAGTACACTTCACTTAGTTCAGCTCGGTGTGCTCCCAAATAAAAGTGCAGAGGATTGAATTCCTAAACACACAGAGTAGGAAGTAAGCTCTATTGGAAGCCTGGGATAGCTCAGTTGGTAAAGCATGAGACTCTTAATTTCAGGGTCGTGGGTTTCAGTCCCACGTTGGGCAAAAGATTCCTGCACTGAAATGCACCAACTTCAGCTAGGCACTTTAATGAGCGTTGGTTGCCAAAATATTCCAGGGCAGGGAGTGCAGGTCTATTCCCCCCCCCCTACAGTTTACATGCCTGTTCCTTGGGAGAAACCTGGACAGCATCTCAAAAAGCAGAGACATCACCTTGCCAACAAAGGTCCATATAGTTAAAGCCATGGTCTTCCCAGTAGTGATGTATGGAAGTGAGAGCTGGACCATAAAGAAGGCTGATCGCCAAAGAATTGATGCTTTTGAATTATGGTGCTGGAGGAGACTCTTGAGAGTCCCATGGACTGCAAGAAGATCAAACCTCTCCATTCTGAAGGAAATCAGCCCTGAGTGCTCACTGGAAGGACAGATTGTGAAGTTGAGGTTCCAATACTTTGGCCACCTCATGAGAAGAGAAGACTCCCTGGAAAAGACCCTGATGTTGGGAAAGATGGAGGGCACAAGGAGAAGGGGGCGACAGAGGATGGACAGTGTTCTCGAAGCTACCAACATGAGTTTGACCAAACTGCAGGGAGGCAGTGGAAGACAGGAGTGCCTGGCGTGCTCTGGTCCATGGGGTCACGAAGAGTCGGACACGACTAAACAACTAAACAACAACGTATCTGCTGGTGGCTTTGGTGATAGCAGCAGTATCAACTCTGACCCTTGTCATGCTTCTTCTCTAGTTCACAGGAATGACACAAGAGTTAGAATGCTGGGGGAGAGGGAGGGAGGAATACATTTGCCATAATTGACAGAGTTCTCCACTCAGCACTAGAGGATAGTATAATTCTCAAGGCACTCTGGGGGAGTGAAATATGACAGCAGCTGGAATCACTTTTAAATGATAAATGTGTCTCCACCCAATATATATGGGGGGGACAAAATCACCATTTGAAATGGTCGCTGAAATTCCCCTACCAAATTCACCAACTGCAAGTAAGCATATGTTGCCATTTGTATGCCTCAATAAGATTCTCAAAATCCCTCCAAAGTGACTCCCTCAGTGGTGACTCAAATAATAGGAAGCAAAAATAATTTGGGGAGAAATATGAGTCACTGCTGATTATTTTTGTCACACACCCTCAGAATTCATGCACAAAGCCAACTCGGGGAGGGGGGGGGAGAGGAAGTATACCATGCATATTTTATGTTTAAGTGGGTATTTTATTTCAGATAATTTTTTTTTAAAAAAATGTTATTATGGACTACCAGGCTTTTGAAATAAGCAGGCAAACAACTGAATAAATAATTGATGGCACTGCCAATTTCCTCTTTGA